TGCAGAAAGACCATTGACCGGGAATGGAACCCAGAACCTTCTTGCTACAAGTCAGCAGTACCCACTGCGTCACTGTGCAGCCCGACATAAATCATGTCATATCTGACATATTTGTAATTTCAATATTATGCCCCTGTTTAAGTCGATGGACGTAAACTGCATTTATTGTAATCTCTTTTCATATTATCTGAATTTACACTATTCAAATGGTATGATAGTACAGTATTAAATCTTTTTTAATTTAACCAATTTTTGTTATTGTTTTAATTTTTATTTATACCTATTTAAGATACTTGTGAGTTAATTAAAAATATAATTATTTTGGGGATAAAAAGCATAACACAAATAAAGTTCAACTCATGCTGTTTTTAAAATGTCTTGACGGTATGGTAAAAGACGGAATCTATTTCTTTCTTACAACCATTACTTTAGTTAAGGGTTTCTTAATTCTGGCCCTTGAGGTCTGGTGTCTCTGCTTCAGCACACCTGAGTTAAATATTCAGATCCTTAGCATGACAATGGAGAACTTAACTGTTTACTGAGGAAGTAATTATACAATTTTATTCAGGTGTGTGGGGAAAGAAACACATCTAAAAAGACACCGGACTATGAGGACTGGCATTGTTTAACTGCCCTTTAGAGCCAGGGGTCTTTAACGTTTTCCAGGCCAAGGACCCCCAAATTGATGCCGAGGTGGAGCGACGACCCCTGATTATGTATATTATTTTAATTTGCGTTAAATCAAACTGGTCCTATAGTCACTCTATTACATATAGAGTAATGTAGCGAAAGTAATTTCACACTGGGCTTATTAAAGTATTTCTGATTCAGATTCCTGGGTTGATGGGACAGGCATTGTGAATGAAACATTGCCCAGTTTGAAAGAGCTCCTGTGTGTAGCTGAATGTGTGCATTATTGACTGAAAGTATTTTGAAGTAAGACATTTCAATTAGACCCCCTAGGGGTCACGGACCCCTGCTGAACACCTTCGCTTTAGAGAGATACACAAAATAAAAAAAATAAAGTATACTATTATAGAGAAATACAAATATTGGGCTTTTAGAGGGATGACCGCATGGTGTGTTCCTATGAAATATGAAGGTTGGAGAGTTTTCAGCAACTGAATCAGAAATGCATTTTTTTTTCTCCAAATGAGAAACTACTATAAAACTATGATACAGACATCCCCCTCTGAAGAAGAAAGTGACGTGATCCAAGTTATAACCAAGGCCTATGAAAACAGGGATCTAAGAACAATCACAGCATTATATAAAGCCTTTGGAAACATGAATAAAGACACAACTACCTAGTGAAGTATAGATGGGGAAATAGAGTTGAACATAAATATTGATGATGACGAATGGTGGGATATATGGAGGGTACATCAGCCCACTACTGGCTCACAGGCATAGAGGGATCTCGCCTGGAAGAATTTAATATGATTTTTTTATTACATAAAAAAAAAAGCAAACAGTTAAAAAGCCCTCTGAATTGTTGGAGAGGATGTGAAGCAGTCGATGGGGACCTTTCACATACCTTCTGGAAATGTCATTAAATACAGGTGTTCTGGGGAATGATCTGTAATGTCCTATGTAATGGCTTAGAATAAAAAGAGACCTGAAATTCTGTACTTGTGGGAATTCCCAGATGGATTTTTTCATGACAATGGTCATTATCAGGTTAAGATGTTGTTGATAGCGGCTTAAAAGCAATATAGGAACTGGAGGAAAGAATAAATTACATCAAAGGAGCATCTGACAGATATAGTGAAGAATATTTTTCTGATGGAACAATTGACACACAGTTTTGGATTAGAAGTACCATAAATGGACAATAAATTGAAAAATAGACACTTTAAATGAAAACATGATGACTGTGAAGGCAAAGATGTATTACCGTATATATGCTCTGGGTAAAAACACTTTAACTCAATAAAATATAAGCAATAAAAATATATGTATTATTGTATGTTGAACTGTAAAGCTGCCTATGCTAAAGTATGAGAATGGCGATAAATCAAGTCTTTAAACAGTTCTATAAGTCATATAAATACCGTTGAAATGATAATTGAACAATCCCCGTAGAAAATGGGGTCTTGAGAATTTACACCCTTGTAATGCATGGCTATGCTTTCCGTCATAATGTATTACCAAACAAAGGGTGACAGAACTCAATAATATCCGCCATGGTCTGTTTATAACAGAAAAGCTTGCCTCCAAGATAGATTTAATATATAAAAGGCCCAACCAAGATTCTAAGGTCATATTAAAATGAGTGATTTTATGAAATATCCTGAAGAAGAAAAGCTGAGTATTGGTTTTGATGGATGTACAAAAAGGATGAATCACAAAGTCCCACTTTTCATTTTACTAAAGTTGAAAATCTGGACTTATTATTGCAATGACTTGGACCTAAACGAAAAAAGAAAAATACTAGTGCTAAGGCTGAAAAACATATGAAAGTGCAAAGCTTCATGAAAGCTGTGTAACAGAAATATCCTAAAGAACATAAGTTCAAAAGTAATTTATCCACAACAGAAAATATGCCCTTCGTCCAAAAGCATATTTAATAATTATCCCCCATGGAGAGACAGAAAAATATTTGCCCATTTGTGGTTCAATAAAACTCGATTAACCTACGGTGAACTGCAGTATGAGACAAAGTCTCAAATTAGTTAGTTCATTGTAGAGGACTAAAATTGCTTCCAACTTCATAATTTCAGCAATTTGTCAAACTTTCCTTCAGTTTTGCAATTATCTTAAGGCCTAATGAAATTGCACACTTTTTCAAATAAACTAGTATCTTTATGTTGTTGAAGGATATATTATTAGGTTGCTGCAGTCTGCTCGGTGTAAGAAAAAGCAGAAAGTAAAAAGTTTATTCTTTTTTCATTTTTCAACTGGGCTTTGTTGTCTCAATGTACTGTCTTAGAGTTTTCTAAGCAATAAAAAAAATCTATTCTGCAAGTGAAGATCAAGTCAGTGTTGTTTCTAGTATTTTTATTACTAAAAGTAATCAATACTTTCCTTAAAAATATTTAGAAGTATCAAAGCTGGCTATAGGTTATTTAAACGTCGTACTAAACAGTTTTATTTGATTCACTGAAGGACAATATGGTTTTGTTAACCATATCAAGACATTAAAAGACTGCTATGGAAAATAGGTTACTAGTACTGCAGATTGATGGTTATTGGTTTTCTGTGATAATTCTGATGTTTTGATGATTTGCTGTTCACCTGATTGATATTTCTAAGGATTTCTGTGCACATTTGTTTGTATGTTCTTATGATGTAAGGCACTTTGAATTCCCTCGCTGCTGAAATGTGCGAATTAAATCTTTACTAATGAAAATTATAAATTATAATAGGAGCTTGTCTCAAAACATTTTAAATATTCACTAACTTTGTTTTCTTTAAAGAGTTCCTTCTTTCATTTAGTTAATTATTGCTTAAAACTAAAGCTAAATACCAAGTCAGGGTTCTATGGAGGGTTAAAGGAGGGAAATCCAATAAATTTATTTATGAAATAACTAAATTAACTTTTAAATTAATAAATGTACAATTAACTAAATTAATATAACATTAAATATATAAATAAATGTAAATATTTAAATGCCAAACTTTTATCGGGAAATATTGCCGTTAATCTATTCTCAGGTTAGAATTCAAGTTAGAAATAATCGATTCAGAATTAATATTTATCTGAATAAACACTTATTAAACGCAAATACATCTTATTGAATATTATTTATTTTTATCATCAGTTATCATAGTAGAAAAGCTTTTTCAAGCAGTTTGCGATGTATTTTGGACACAGGACATGGGCCCTGGTCTAATTTGCCACCTGTTCAAAGACTTACTTTTATTTATTATTTAGGTAGCACAGACATATCACCCTTATTTTATTCCTACCCTTATCTGATTTTATTCTTATATCTTATTTGTACTTGCAATCTTATTTTTCTCTCTTCTGTAAATGGTTGAACTGCAAGAAAAAAAATTCCCGCAACGGATTAATAAAGTTATTCTGATTCAGGAAGTCCTTTGGCAAAATTCAAATAAGCCATTTTAATCTAGATTAATCTAGATTAGTTCCAAGATTACTGTGAGATTAATCTAGATTAAAAACAAAACGTATATTAGATATATATTTAAAGTATAAATGTCAAATAATTGCACGCACTTATTTTAAGACACTCAATTTTAATTTACATTTACTTATTTCACTCTGTACCCATTTAGTCCTTCATCATGAAATCATTTGAACTGTCAACTTGGCCCATCAAACTCAGTGGGGGGGTAGAAGGGCTGCTCCCATAAAGACCCTGATGTCTGCTTCACAGACATCACATCCTGTCACAACAAGACAGGACAAATCCTCCAGTTTTCTTTGACTCCAAGTTTAATTATTTATATAAAAGCAGAAATAACTTCAATAATATTTTTTCAATTTATTTACCACACTCTCTCAGTGAGCAACTCCAGTCTCTATATGACTACTTTATTCACTAATATTTCTGACAATCTTATGAGAGACTGTTAGCTGGAGCGCGAGGGTAACATTGATCCTGTTTGAAGTCTGGCAGCCTCCTACCTGCTTGACAACGCTGAGGTTTGGCATGTGACATCCCCATCTTATGACAGTACATTACACGCCTATGGAGTTTAAGGTTTGCTAACCTGTCAAGAACATGAACACCTTGACAACTAAATCAGGTCATTGCTACTTTTAAAAGATAATTTGGCAGACTTTTTTTTCCTTCCACTCAATTTTCCTTTATACAGTAATGGTTGAAAAGTGTACCTTCTGTAGAGTTGGCTCATTCAGGAAATATCTTATCCATCAACTTAGCAGTGTCCTAATGTATCGTAGGCTACAACATGTTCATTAGATAATATTTCTTCTCCTCTACATCAGGTTAATGTAATAAACTAACTTATTATTTTGGAATTTGTTGAAATGCACCTGTATTACAAAATGTGTGCAGTTTTAGTCTTACATCCACGTCATCACAGAGACGAGACCCGGATCCATACTGCAGGCGACACTGATGAACTGCGGTGTACAGAACGCCAGGAAGCACTGAGGTAAGAGACAACCTGGCCTTCATCGGGGCATCATCCAGGCACCACCCCCAGCCTCGACTGTGATGGCAAAATAGAAATAATGGGTTAATTTTTTGGAAAGAACTCCTTGTATTACAATTATTTCATCTTTAAAACACGTTTATGGTCCACTCTCTGCAAAACAGTTTTATGCAACAATCGTACAGTGCATGCCTGGCATGCACTGTACGATTGTTTTACCCTTTTCTCCAGTCGTGCAAGAATTTTTTGATCGGGCCTGACTTTATGCCTGATTGTGCGTAGTGTAGTGTACAGGAATCGTAAGGCAGGAGAAAATCAAGCATGTTGTGAAATTCAGTCGGCCGTCGTAAGGTGGTTGTGGGCAAATCGCTCAGTATGCATGTATAAACAAGGATTCTTCTTCTTCCTCTCAGATAAAAACACAGAAGCATGGCGGGGATGTGAGTAAAATGGAGTTCTTTATGTAAAATCGACAGACTGTATAGTAGGCAGTGTGTTTCAATGTAGAGAGATTCATATTCCTCCTCTACTCGTTTGACTTCCGGATAGACGACTCCGAGCAGCTCCATCTCACTGCGGAGTTGAGTCCGACGTGGTTTTTAGATGTACAGTGTGAGCAGGTAGATCGCATCAAAGTGTCGGGTCGTGTGAGAACATACATGGTGAGCTGTGAACTCACACGGTACGATGAAGCCCTGAGCTTGTTTGTACAGTGTGAGTTGTAGCCGTATGCAACGATTGAAAAAAAATTGTACAGTGTATGCCCGGCTTAACAGGGTTCTCCTTGAATAAACAGTGAAAATAATGAAAAGTTATTAGTTCAACCACGAGCAGTTTAAGGGAACAAAAAAAATACATTAGGATATATAAACTTTATGCTTTGCATACACATAGTTTTATGGAAACTTTGTCTATGAGTTTATTACCATGCATGTTTCAGGTGGATAAACACAGATTCATTAAAAAGTTAAGTAAAGGGCAGATGTTGGGTATATTAAGTTAGATTGTAATACTCTAATTATTAATGGATGTAATTAATGGGGTAAGAATTTCTGCAAAATGCCAGAAATCAAAAAGCGAAACAAGCTCATAACTAAATATGAAAATGAAGTGGATCACAACACTTTGGTGGAATAAATATCAAATTATTTCTCTTGGTGTTGGATTCTGAATTCAAAAATAACAAATACAGAAAGAAGAGAGAGAACATTGCGGATCAATAAAACAAAAACACAAAAGAAAAGTGATGTACTTGTACTGACAAGAGAAGAAACATTTGATAAGATACAGATCCACATGTCCTGTTAGGCTCCAGTATCTTACAAAATAAAAGGAAGATCCAGATTTCAGCACATGCAGTACAGTATGTGATTGGACTCTTGGATATTTCAACAGTGGCTTGAAATAAATTACTGGTTTAAAGGATTTGCTCTGATTAAGCCAATAGTAAAAGTTTTTAATCTCCTCTATTTGTATCAGAAGCCTCTAGAAAAAAAAAAGTATAACTTCCCTAACTAACTGTCTATAATCAGATATGTGCTGTTTAAAATTATCTGCTTTCATTACATCAAATCCCTGTCAAACTAAAAAACCACATGAATTGTTAAGGTGAATACTACAATGTGCTCTTAAAAATTAATAATGAAAGGCAGCAGACAGGAGTGTAAACACACCTTTCAGCTTCTGAGGCTTTAAACATTCTTTAGTATTAAACTAGGTATTTTCATGTTAATCATAAATAGTCAAGTATTAAGGACAGTCTTATCCTTATCAATGTACATTAGTATTTTTCATGTTTTTGTTTAGACCAAGACTCAAGGAGAACCTGTGGATTCTGCAAAGATAACTGATCAAACCAAGTAAAAACAAAACCTTATCACTTGTTTTGCTGTTTCATTAGCTCAGCAGCCGAGGTATAACATGAATGCAAAGCTACTGCAGGCGAGACTCTCAACTGGTTTTAAATGACATGTAGAAGCGGAAGCGAATTATAACTGTATATACGGAAAGGTTCACAAGGTCAAATGGGTAATTAGCGGCCATGACTATATAGTAAAAAACTTTCTTTGGTTGTTTCGGTGTTCTACCCAACAGGGGAATCACTTGACTACAAAAGCAACAAGGTGGATGCTTTCTGTTTTTGGAAAAACATCAGAATCTGAGTGGATACTGAAAAGAACAAAAAACACACACACAAAAAAATGGGTGAAGTGTTTAACTGGTAACAGCAAGTGGCACTCCAATTTATCAGACAAGGCAACAATCAGTGCATCAATCCTGCTATCACAATGCAGCACCTAGGTGGCTTAAAGCTTTGGCTTGGCTTCTACATGAAAATTGCCTTTAGCTCATAGTAGCAATGGTGTCATTCTGTTATTGCAAAACCTGCTGAACATTATAATATTGTATAACATTGTACTAATTTCAAATGGAAATATTCTTTACTGACCCTGAAGTGCTTTACACTACATCCAGTCATTCACCAGACATTCACACAGGATGGATACCTCACTGTAGCCACAGCTGCCCTGGGGCAGACTCACAGAAGATAGGCTTCCTAACAATCACTTCCACCAAGTCCTCTGACCAACAGAAGTGGGAAAGGTGGTTACAACCGAGCATCCACCATTAACATGACGAACCCCTACTGTATCCTGAGCCAGCAACACCCCTTTGTCTGATTGCACAAAAAAAGGACACTTTAATAGTCTGATTAACATTCTGCTTTTTTAACAAGAGTTGCGGAATATTGTATAATAGGATGGGGAAAAAGAATGCTTCTTCATCACTAAGAATATCAGCGGTATTCTTGCTTTGATTTTTTTGTGGAAAATAACAAAAATTAATACAATTCAATTTGCTAGTTGATAGTTAGGGGTCACATTCAACCCTTTAACTAAGAAGCAATCATAGCTCATAGCAGCTTTTACCATTTTGTAGTAAAAAAAAAATAATGAATGGTATAAACTTGTTAATTAATGGTGTGTTACAATTTAATGAAATTAATTAATTAAGACAAAAAGTAATAGAATAGAAAATCCCTCTGGTGTTTACAGCAGCAACAAGATTATACAAAAAAATGTGTTTTATACATTATTAAATTTCCTAATTTATTATGAATTATGTGGAATATTCCTTTTAATCATTGTGTAACTATAAGAAACTAGACCAGAGGTTTTCATCTTAGAAGTCACACATAGTAAGCACAACATTATAATTACTTACTACATTAATAATTACAACTTATTACTAAAAAAATGAAAAACAAAATGAGAAGAATAATATTTGCATAGAAGTGTTGGATGTAAAGCACCTGCTTGCAAACACATTTAAGGGACACATGCTTAAGTGTTTAAAATAAAAATAAAAAGAATATCTTAAGGAGAACATGCAGGCAGCGGCTACCTTAGTAGTATAATATTTACTAAAGGTATATCAAAGGTTTATTTTACCTATTCTAAACCAAAGGCCATATGATGCCTGATGCTGACATTATATAATGTTTGACAGTCTACAGGTCAGTTTCTTTAATAATCAAACTCACAATATTAGAACAAAGTATAGCAATGCCACATTGGAGTCTTTGAAATGGATAAAACAAAATTTCAAATTAACAAGCTTTCCTTTCAAACACAGTTTAAAGGTCAAGAGAAAATATAGTGAGAAAATCAAAGACTTCATTTTAACAGTTTTTTTGTTCATTCTCTTTGTCCCACATTAAATAATCATCGTCCTTGGTGCAATCTCTTCAAAATATACCTTTATTTAAACGATAAATCCTGACTGAGGTTTTGAGTTTCTTACATCACCCTATTTTTTTGTTTTTGTTTTCACACACTGAGGACAATGTTTTTTTCTTGACAAAATTTGTACTTTTTTCACAAAATGTATTTTGCACCATCTAACCTTATGCTTTACCAAAGAGAGCCCCGACAACAAATTTTACAAAATAAGCAGATGGTCTGATGTTCAGCTGAGGTGTCTGTTTGAATAGATGTTTTTGTGAAAAGGAAAAAAAAAGTGAGTGTTTGTAATCTCTTCCCCAGAAGAGGATGGGGAAAAGAAACAGCCCCTTCAAGGTAAGAGGCTGTTTTTATGTCTGTGCTTTATTCAATGCTGCTATGACATGTTCCTGATCAAAGTAGTGCAAATAGAGCATTTCCCAGGTGGGATCTATGTCAACAAGTCTAGCCTCCTTTGGACTTGTGCTGCATAAATTCAATCCAGGTCTGGTGCACAACATCCCACAATCCCCTGTGCTGCCCTCACCCATTGAGCGAAGCTCTTCTTAACCTGTGCAGTACAGCTCTCACACTGTCACACTGCGGCACAGGAGGATTTCAGTTGCAGCCCTGTTTGAGTACAGACAGTAGCATCAACCACCCAAGGAGGAAGAAGTGTGTTAAGCTTTCTTCACCAGATGGAAGGCATTATCAGTCTATACAATGTTTGTGGGTTTAGCTTTTGCTGCCAAAGTAGCTCTGAACCATGGAAGCATGGATTCCAAAAGAAGCTGGAAATCTGTTATTGTATACAGTATGGCACCAAGGTTTTAGATGTTGGTGCCATATACAAAAGGGAAATGGAAACATTTGAAAGTATTTGTGGACTCTTCCCCAGCCTCTTCTGGGGAAGCAGAAAATCCATCATGCTTTGCACTGAGACCTCACCAGATGTGACTTGTTTTCCCAAACAATTGGATAAAGGCTTATTGGAATGAGATCTGTGAAAATCTGGAAAACAAGTCAACACCGACACCGTATTGTTCCACTTCTAAATCCATTTCTGAATTGTTTTTATTTAGTGTTAATGTGAATTAGTCTGCAAAAAGAGGCAAAAAAAGAAGCAATTTTCTATTTTTTACCTCAAATAAATTAACTTTGAGAGCAGAAGGTTCACTCGCTTCTTAATTTATACGGACTAACAGCAGGTGCCATTGTGAAGAGGTAATCAGTCTGATTCACTTCAACTCTGCACAGTGATAATGTTATGCCAGATTGCAGTGTGAGCAGCATAAAATGACACCGATTTTATAAAATATAATGAACGAATCTTTG